ACTTTTATCACAGAAAAGATGTCCTATTAAAGCTGAGAGGAATATAAATTATGAGACTAAGCCCTTCAATAAAGCATCATATAGAACAACCACATAAATCATTCTTTTACATTTACATACTCTTTGAACAAGACTACTCAGATTTAGCCTATGGCACCAGAAATATTCACAGAGAATGGCAGTGTGTTCTGGAGAAGTGCATACTCCTACTTAGACTTTCTTACAATTCTTTGGCTCCACTGTTCTCCCGGTATCTCTTTTACATACATGGTATAGATGCATGTGTCTTTTATTTATAACTATAAAGAAATAAGACAAATTCCATAAGGTATAAATAAAAGCAACCACATTATTTTACACTTAATTTTATTTTGGAAGATATATGAGGCAAATCTAACTGAAACCATCACTGTGGTAAAGTAATATGTTTATTTTTTGCAAAAGACTTTTGGGAGCAAACAATAATCATGTTGGATATACAAAGGAGTAATCTGAAGGTGGACCAGGTGGAAATTCAGATGATGAACAGTCTTAACCATTACTGTTTTTAAATTAAAAACAGTTTTTATAACTATATTATTTATGGTTTGTGATAAAGTATAAGTAAGAATAATTACAATAGGTGCCACTTTTTCTTTCAAATAGTATCATTTGTGACTCTACAGCATAATTCTGTCCTTAAACTTTTCTTACTATGCATTTCACCTTTAGGTGTTTTTCTAGTAAGAACAAATATTTTAAAAGGTTTTAACTGTATTTTGCCATTCAATATCAATACATGGTGCTTTACAGCATTCCTGATATATCCAATGAATGCAAGAGTTATGCACAAATTCTTATTTCTGTGTACAACTTCCTATGTGAACATTTTTATAAATGCACTCCCCTTATTTTCCCCTGACCTTGTTTTCTTGGAAATCCCCACCCCTCATGGACCAAAGTGGTGTCAGCCTCAACTAGAAGCCAACAATATAAACAATTGCTATTGCTTTCAGTAGAGAAAATCAGTGTCTTTCACACCACACACGTGTTCATCTATGTTTTATCCAGTTTATAGACGACACAGAGACAACAATCCATAAGAGAGGAGTAAGGAGAGTAATCTGGTAACAGCTGCACTGATCCAGGTCAACTAAATCTGCAAGAGACTGTGTCTAGATCGTGGTGATAGTAATGAGTTCTTTATGTTGTGGTGAATGGTTGGTTGAGATGGCAGGACCAAGGACAGGTGTCATATACCCTCTTAATTTATTTTTGAAGTAGGCCACCGAAAAACTAGGAGGCAATTTCAGCAAGTTCAGTTTTGTCTAAGGAGTAAGTAAATAATTATCATTTCTAGAATGCTAAATTTCTAAATCTGGAAATGCATTCTACAGAGTCATGAAACGTTCTATCTATAGAGATGAAACTAATCTTAAAAATATATCATGTTTGATTTTTTTTTCATTATTTATAAATGAGAAAAACAAGGATGAAGGAGCAAGAGTGATTTGTGTAATCAACTGGTGTTGATCAACTAGATTGGAAGATTTCTACTATTCCATGCTATCTAAAACCCATGAACTTTAGTATCAAAACATATAAATCTGCTACAATTTTCTATTCTCTAGAATACTTATTGAAGTCCTAGAATGCAGTGTGTGTTCCCTCTCATGTCCGTATGGTTAACAGATGTAGCAAGGATGTAGCAAGGAAAGTAGGCCAGTGGTCTGAAGGTCATGGCTTAGTTCTTTCTCTTGCTACACACTTGTACTGTGTAGGAGAATAACTTAACCACTCTGCTCTCAATTACTTCATCTACTTAGGAAAAACATTCAACTAGTTTTATATAATTGTCCACCTCTGCCATTTTCAAGATTTTCAAAAATAACCCATGTGATTCCTGCCTACCATGACAAAAATAATCCTGAGTTAAGGTATGAAAAATTGTTTGCCCCCAGTTAACACTCTACAACTCAAAGGACAAAATATGAATAAGAGCTTATCAACAAATACATTCAAAAGGAAGGAAAAATAATTGCTAAAATAGGTTGTTTAATTCCAGATTACTTTTCTAAAAGCAGGAATTTATTTTCTACTGTTCATTTACCTAAAAGTGCTGAGATTAATGTTACAGGCTAATGATAAAGATAATAGATATAATCACTGATCTTGAGAAAGGATTATTGATCCTGTGTTATCACCAAGATATCTTCTTCTATAAACTCACTGTAAAAATAATTATTAAATATTATTATTAAAAATAATTATTACTATGTAAAACTCACTGTAACCAAAGCCACAAAGGTGCATTTTAATAGCACCAATATTCTAATACTATTTAAGTGTTCATAGGCTATTTATCTTTAAATCCTTCTCCCGTTAAATGCTGATAGTAGAAAGATAAAGTAAACAAAAAAATTAAATTTTTAAAAATAAAAATCAGCTCTTAAATATGACTGGTTGGAAGAAATTCTAACAATAAAATAAGTTGAGGATTTCGGATTGTTAGATTTCTTCTTTATTATTACCAAATCCCTATATCCTTGATGGTGATGTTTGTTCAAGGATCAGACTTCCAAATTCAAACAAATTTAAAAAAAAATGCAAAACCATTAATTTCTTACAAGTTCATCACTAGTGGTAATGTGTAAATGACCAGCAATAAACATATCATTGAATCTGCTGTCCTTCTTTAGAACGTAAAAAAAAAAAAACAAAATAAGCTGATTTAAGACCTTCTGGGTTATAGATTTTAATGGTATTGCAGCAAAGATAAGATCATAGAAAAACTGGCCATCCTTGATGGCACAATGAGGTTTTCTCCTAAATTACTTTCTCAAAACATTTTAGAAAATACCCAAATTATTTCTTGTTCTTTTTTAATTGAATATTTTACTTTTTTTTTTTCAGACCAATTACAGAAAGAGCTCTAGAATTATTTTTATTTCTAAAATTAGCCAACATCTTTCTTTATATTGAATGTGGAAACATATTAGCTCTAGGGCTTCCTAGAACTTATTTCAGGTTCATTACCCAGAGCAGACTATCAAAATAACTGGTCCAGAACATCCTGTTAGTATCAGAAACTATCAGAAAAACTGTCAAGCTCTTTCTTCTTTCTTGACAAATATCTAGTGGTCTCTGTCTCTGAAACTGAAAACTTATTTCCTTTCTCAATTTGCTTTCAGTGCCACAAATTCTTTCAAGGAACAGTAGTTCTTTTTGAGAGATATTTTTGCTTCCAGAATTGAGCTGACAGCAGAATGGCTACACAAAGCAATATGTGAACAGATTAATTGTGGTATTTTAAAAATTCTTTGCTTTTCAAATTGTAGTCTAAAGAAGGTGTGATGGACATATTTTTCAGACTTTGTAATTCCCCTCTACCCATTGTGTTGTCTTCATTTCCTTATTGCCACACTTTTAAAAGTGCATTTTTAAAAGGAATGGATATTTTAGCATGTCTTCAAAGTTAACTTACAGTTATTAATATGTAATCAGAGGAAAACCACAAAAATAAATCTGTCCTCATTTTTTTCCTGCACTCATTCCAGTCATTAAAACTAAGAGTTGAATAAGTAATATTCTTTTACATTATTGGGCTTTCCTCAAATTCTACTTTATTATTTTGCATATTGCTTTATTAATTATAATATTAATTTAGACTGTTTTTAAATGTTTCAATAGAAAATTTGCCAATGTATACAGTTATGCAGATCCCAAATTCCCATAACAATTCTGATTTTAAAATATAAATAACTAGATGTTTTTATTAAACTTTTTAAATTGGTATGTACTTAGTAGCATTAAAATTCTCTATTAATATAAACACCATACTTTTTGCAAAAACATCTTTCACTAAAACACTTCTATTTATTTCATTAAAATAATATTTCTTCACTCCATCAAATTATTAAGAAGGAAAATCTATTAGCTCACTAATCATTCTACCTGTTCTCTTACTGACACAAGTAAACATAAATAAGCTTCAATAAGTAGCCAATGTTATTGGTCAAAAGCATATTCCAATAAAGGTTACCTGTACATCATGCAGATGCAACATTAGATGAACAGCATTTTCATCTTTATATTTTCAAAAATATTTATATTTATTTCCCTAACCCTTTCAATATTTGTCTTTAAAACTTCCCTGCCAAACTTTAGTACTTTAATATTCTTGTCCATCTTTTCTTCTGCCAAATCTTCTTTAAGTTTTTTGATGAAACAAGCACTTCATTTGACTAAATTTTTTATTGGTATCTTTAGTCTAAATATATTGTCACAATAAAACATAACCTAGATTAGCAGAAAATAGTTTCATGAACAATGAGCGTTTTGCCAATCAAAAGGCTATTTCATTAGAATAATAACATCAAAAATAAAATTTGATTACTCTTATACCCTTCAATCAAAACTTTCATTCATAAAAATGATCATTCCAATATAATAAAAAAATTTGTATTTATATGATTGGTACCTATGAAAAATGTTAATTCACTCAAATATAAAGAGAGAATGGAGGCAAATGCTTTTAATATTTGGCATATTATGTTAGGATGCCAGTGTAAAATCTTTGATTTGCATGTAGTGCCTACAGGTTTTCTTTCTACCAATGCATTCATTATGAATACACTGAAATATGTCATCACATGTTGTAAGAACACTCAAGGTGGCCCTTATCTCAAAAAAGTCAAAGCTAAACATTTAGATAGAAAGTCACAGTTTTAAGGAATGTTTAATTTACACTACAGTCCTAAAATATTATAAAGCTTTTTCTGTAAATTTTTACATTCATTTTCACATATACTTCAATTAAAACAACTTTCCACACTCTGCCCTTTCAGAAGTGGAGTTCAGGATCAACATCTATCACAAAACAGCACTGTTGAAGTAAAGCAATGCAGTAAAGACGCAAAAATGATATCCAGGCTGATGGCTTTTACAAATCTAATTCTATTGCCATTTGAATTGAACCAAAATACAAATAAAATAAAAACTGGACTGCTGATCGACCTTACCTTCTTGAACGGCTTGAAAAGGATTGCTTCCATCAACAAAAGTCACCGAAAATGTGATTTTCTCAGTCTGTAAAATCTCCTCATTCTGGTTGAGGTCACCAACTGCTGTGCGAAACACCTCATCATCCTTTTTGGCAGATTCATCAAAAATTGCTCCTAGAAAGAAGTGAGTGTTGCCATTAAACAATAACATAAATATTCTGTCTTGCTCTCTGGAAATATGCCAAAGAGGCTTATATATTTGAAAAATGTATACTTTCCCTTAAAGCATGCACTTTATTTATTACTGAAGCACACTGTACTGGAAGCAGTGTGATAGCTAGGTAGGCATGTGGTTACTTCTTCCAAATGGAAATGAGGAATAGTACATCACACAATGATTTCAGGAAGAGCTTTAGTAAGACAATATAATCAGTCCAAAAATCTTCTGCAGAACGAAGTAGCTAACACATTAGACATCTCCTATTATAATATCTTTAGGAGTTCATAGTCTGAGGAATAGTTTTCTGAATAATAGGAGATACAATCAGGAAACTTTCTGAGATCCATTCACACAGTGTGCAGGGATCAGACTTCTATTGTGATCTTAATTTATTTTTCATTATTCTTTTTACTTCCTTCTTTTCTTTTTATCTTGAAAAAGGGTTTCAGTATATTTAATGGTAGTAAATTCAATAACATTTATAGAAAATTTAGGCACATATAAACCTCTGAGCAGAGGTAATTTAAGAAGTAATTTCTGAAGAATTAACAAAAATCCTGGTGGATATTATGGCCTTTTTCACTCACATACAATAATAATGATGATAAGAGTTATGGCTAACTTCTGTCTGGATGATTGCCTGTCAGCAGGGTGGAGCTTAAACATACCAGTGCTAGGAGTAAACTGATTTCAAATTCTGACTGCAGCTTGTTAAGTATATGACCTTGAACATGGGATTCAAATTCTAAACCCCACATTCATCATTTGTAAAATCTAATAATAATCTGTAAGGGTTATTAACTGCTTTAAGTTTATCCATGTAAAATGTAAATAAATTGTGCTAACTACATAGTACATTTTCAAATAAACACTGGTGTTTTCTTATTTTTAAATACTGTAATATGACATTTTACATTAATATTTCCCATATTGCAGAACCTCATTCAATCCTTAAGATAATTATGTGATACACATACTACTACGTACACATACAGTTATAAAAACTGAGTTTCAGTGCAAAGAATATGCCAAAGGAATAAAGGCCAGGGTCCTTGACTCCAGTGTCTTTGTTCTAAATCACTATACTCCATTTCAGGATTAGACCCATAAGAAATAAATGTATTTTTATGAGGATCCTGACTCAGATCTGGGAGATTCTTTCCCATCTGGCCACACACGCCTTATTTGTGTTCATTCTGATTCTGCTAGTTCTAAGCAGGAACACATTTTTAAATTATTTATTTTTAAATTATAAACACAAGGTCAGTGTATTTTTTTGCCTTTTTGAGTGAATCAAATGAATTTGCTCCTGCCAAAAAACAACATACACCCCAGGGTCAGTAACGCGATAATGGAGTGGCTATACATACATACCCATATACATATCCACATCCACATAATATTTTTCTTGAATTAATATTCTTTGTAGTGTGTAAATATAAAAATAGAATTGTGTGTGCATTAAAATGACTTTTTTCCGAATGTAAATACAATATGGATATTACATACCCACATAGAGATAAACACAGACTATATATACAGAAACAGTTATACATGTACATGTTTATATCTATACATACCCACACATATGTATATGTAGAAGCAGACGTTTTACATATGCCACTTCTGTTGATTTTATGCATTTGTGACTAAAGCCCAAATTGGCCTTCTAATGAAAGACAGATCATGATATTCAACATGCATTATTAGAGTCAATACATGATAAAGCAAGGGTGAAACTATGTCTATTTCTGACAAGTGTGGCAGGTTACTTTTGCCCTCTTCACCTTAAGTGGCCTGATGATGGGGAGGCAATTATTAATTTTCACTAGAGAAGGCGGAGTGTCTAACAGGCTTTTTCTGTGAATCTAGCTTTCCCTTGTCACCGCTCTTTTATATTTGCCTGAAATGTACTAACTTTGACCAGCCTCTTCAAACCCTTGCTTTCTATTTCCTATAGTATAATTTGAATAGCTTCCCACAGCTAAGAGCATGAGCAAGGACAAAGATTTTTAAATTGATACATGAAGTACTCCCTAATTATATTATTATATATCTATTAGTCAGGAAATTAATATTTTATTAAAATATATATTATAGATGTTAACTTTTGACCTCACATATCACTTCTGAATCAGATTGAAATCTACTTTAGAAACTGTTTTTGTGAAATTAGAGAGTAAAATGTTGGATGTATCTTGCTCATTGAAGCCACATTCATGAACATGCATTTTAATTTGTGGTAATTGTTATGAGAATCTAGATTAATCATTACATTTAAATCTAATACTATCAGATCCAGATATACAGATTTCTTTAGCAGAAATTAGAATTATTACAAAATTAGAATTAGAAATTAGAATTAGTTAGAAATTCTAACTTTAGTTAGGAAGTGTGATATAGTGTACTATAATTGGAGCTGAAATAACCAATTCATTTAAACCGGATAATCTAAATGTCTATTCACAAAGAAGTGATGTATGCTTATATAAAGATGCTTCAGCTTGTCATGGATTCTAAGTGGGTCTTTTAAAAGAAGAGTTTTTAATCAACCTTGTTTTTAAAGCAGGTGATATTACTGACTTCTGCTGAGTATTGGCAACATATTTTTTAATGGAAGCATTTTAATGTTAAGTAACAGGTATACTTAAGACTGCCTTAAACATTAAACCTGACTTAATAGGTAGCAGAAACCTACAGAAATGATAGCAAATTAGTCAATTCCATGCTGGATTAAGATATACTGAAAGAAAATACACAAAAGAAGTAGCTCATCTTTCTGCAAACAGCAAGAAGTAAACAGAAGAAACATTTCATCTTACTGCACACAGCATAACCAAAGAACAGGAAATCCTACCAATATTTCAAATCCAGTTATCTATTTACTTTTTTTCTTCAGCTATAAAATCTCATCGTAGATTTGGCTTTTAACCAAGAGAGTAAAGGCAGCATTTTGTATTAAGCAAAACTATTCTAAAAACAGCCCAGTGAGTTCCACATGCAGAACCTCACAAAAAAGGCTCTTTCCTATTTCATGCACTTCCAATAGTATAGCAATGTCATCTTTTTATCCTTTCTATCAATACACATATATTACCAGTCCAATCCAATATCAAACATCTCAAATTTACTTTTTTTGACATTTATAAAGTGTAACATTCATAACTATATAGTTAACATGATGACAGCAACTAGTTCTTTCCCAGCTATTTTATTAGCATTTTTTACTATCAGTTTTATTTTACAAACTTGAGATGAAAAGCAGAATCAATTTATTGTCCAGATGAAATAATTCTCCTACCACTTACACACACACACACACACACACACACACACACACACACACAAAGTTTGATCAACAGATTATATTTCCTATCTACACCTCACACTGGTCAAAATGAAAGGAAGAATAACCAAGAAATAAAACAGACAAGTAACACCTCCTACATGTTCCCATTGTACCAATTTGCAATCAGTCATTTACATTATTAGGGACTGATGATCTGTTCCTCCCATGAGAGAGAAAAGGCTTTACAAAGAGAGTGACATATACAGGCAAGAAAACATAGGTTTTATTTTGTTTTGAGTTAACTTATCTATTTTGAGAGAGAGACAGACAGAGAGAGAGCTTGTGGGGAGTTAGTGGAAGGGGGGAAGAGAAAATCCCAAAGAGACTCCCTGCTAAGCATGATGCCCAGTGTGGGGCTTGATCCCACAACCCTGAGATCATCATTCGACCTGAGCCAAAATCAAGAGTAGGACACTTAACCAGCTGAGCCATCAGGCACCCCACGTATATATATTTAAATACAAACTACAACATGTTTACTTATCTTCATAGATCTTACATCTTAGATAGTAAAGAATTATAGTTTATAATAATTAAAAATATCCTGACGTCTTTTTTTTCTCCTTGTTGTGTAGGGTTATCTGTACAAGTCAGTATTTTATACCATAAAATCTTTTTACATATATTCATATTTACAAATATGCTTGCAAAATAAAGAATTAATAGAAGTCACTAAGCTGACCAACTCCATAATTCTCAAAAACATTAGAAGCTTTAAGAAACATTAAGCTTAAAAGCATTTTTACCTTTGTGTCTTTATTCATGGTGTTGTCTCCATGATGGGTGTATGTATGTTCATCTCATTACCAAAATATAATTTCCTGGGTCACAGAAATTATTTTTATACTTTTGTGTGTATAGAAGGGAGCCTGGATATATTAGAATTAGTCAAGAAATAGTAATTGATTAATTTTTCCTTATGTTTAGTTAGGCATAATATTATAAAATAACTAGATCCAAAAACAGGAGTAAAAATGTGTTACAACTAACTATAAATTAAAACAATGGTAGACTTGCTAATGTACTTGCCAGTGAATTTATTATCATAGTCATTATGACTCCAGAATACACAAATTATTCAACATGTTATTAATCATACACTTGTATTTTTAGTTTGAATATTTAAATTCTTTTTTTTTTCTTATACATATAAGAGGCAAGTGGAGGAAACATTGTTTAGCTGGTAAGATAATGGCGGAAAGAAAATGTCTTTGTCTAGCTCCGAGTTTTCTATAAAAACATTGAGAAACGTTTTGATATATGTCTTAAATTTTTTCTAGCCAGTAGAATTATTGGAAGATCTCTGTATCAAATTTTATATAACTAGTATACCAAATAACTATTAAAATAAATAATGCTAAATATCTAATCTAAATACCTAAATATTGTTACCTAAATATATGGTAACAAGTATCAACACATCTGCACTGCCCTTGCATCATCAATGTTTAAAACCCTATCATCTAAAAAGACATGTATGAAACAACTTCCCAAAATATGTGGCTGGATATCAGAGTCGCAAATAAAATCAGAAATAGTTCATCTTTTTCCAGTCACAAAGTTCAAAATCTTTGTTTATTTAATTTTGCCTAATATATATAAATT